CTTCCAATGCAATGACCGACACTCTGGAGACAAGATTCTTGGCTCTAATCTCAGCACATGATGCTCCATTTAACACCTCACCTACATCACCTAACCCCTCTACCTTGTAGTTTCCTTTTCTGAAGGAAGAAGGAGAGGAAAAAAGGAAGGAAGGAAAGGAAGAACAGAGAGAAGAAGGGAGGAAAGAAGGAAAAGTAAAAGGGGCTGCATATTGGAATGTGTGATTTTTTAAGTTATTTCATCTCTAATAACTTTGACTACAGTATTTGGCTCAGACAGTAAGAAAGGAGGTTTCCAACTTAAAGCCTGTATGAAATCTAGAAGCAGAATTCTTTATACATGTCATTTTTTAAGAACTCTGCCTTTTGGAGAATGTAGAAGACATGCAGATCCTTTTGGTGTGAGATAGCCAAAGCATCTACCTCTAGTTATAATAATAACAAATGTTCAAATTAAAACAATTAGCAGGAAACCAGAAGTTGATGGGAGACCAACTTGGCTGAAGGCGAGCAGGACAGTGAGGGAAATGTGTAGAATGGGCTGTTTTGCTGAATCAAAATGTGTGCTTCTGATTTTTTTTTTTTGTATGTTTGGTGGAGGCGGGAGGGTGCCTATATAGACCCATATTATAAAGCACCAACATTACAAATGGTCACGTTATAAATGAGTATAAATTACCCATAGATGTTTTCTAAAATCAAAGGCAGAATACAAAAAGAATGAGTAAAACAAGTGTACGTTGATGTATTATTGATTTCTGAGGCAAGGTTCTTAATTATCCCAGAAATAAGGTCCATGTGAAGAAGTGACAACCTGTCAGACCGAGAAGAGCAGACTCATGGCGACCTCGGGTCTTTTTAAACGCAGGAGTCAGACTTTCTCCCAGAGCATGGGAAAGCAGGTGCTATTTCGTTTTCAGTGTTCTGTGTATCCTTTCTCGGACATGCTTCCTCTGCTTGGTTTGCACGTTTATATGGTAGAGGTGTTTCCCCGGCACAGCTCCAGATGCTTCTTATAATGCTGCTGCTGATGCCGTATCACAAGCTTTTCAACTGGAGACCAAACTGTCCCCTCAGGCTTTAATGCTGAGACAGTGGGGGAGTCACTCAAAGAGGCTGTGGGAGCCGAAAGGACCTTGGCAGTGAGGTGTCCAGCCTTGTTACTGAGCAGGTTAGGGGACTAGCTCCAGCCATAAAAAGCAGAGCCAGCTCTAAATTCCAAGTACGAACTGCCAGTGCTCGTCAGAGGAAGAGACTGCTTATCCTGCCCCTCTTTAAACTTGTTACCTAGCCAGCCTAGTATAAACTGAACGAAACATTTTGTAAAGGGTTCAAATAAATGACGAAGACTAGGAGCATCTAGGATAATGCCAGTGACCCATTGAAAGTGCAGCCATAATAAATGTCTAAAAAGGTTCATCCTTTATAAGGTCAGGGAACTCAGTTGTGCGGTGTGATTTAACCATGCCATGTTTTCGTATGTTATACTTCTCCGTTGTTTATTTCTTATCCATGTTAATCAAAATAGTAAACACATGTTCCAGACTTCCAGAAGCATCAATTCTATAAATTTCCAAAAAGGGTTTGAGTTAGGAAGAGCCATACGATTTACAGCTGTTTCATGATTCCCAAATCAGTTAGAAATAGCCTGAGATTAGTTCCTTATACCATGAAAAACAACAGGATAGCTTTGCTAAAGAAAAAAAAAATCATATTTGTTGCCGAAACTGGTTTGGCTCAGTGGATAGAGCTTTAGCCTGCGGACTGAAAGGTCCCAGGTTCGATTCCAAACAAGGGCATGTACTTTGGTTGTGGGCACATCCCCAATAGGGGGTGTGCAGGAGGCAGCTGATCGATGATTCTCTCTCATCAATGTTTCTAACTCTCTATCCCTCTCTCTTCCTCTCTGTAAAAAAAAAAAATCAATAAAATATATATATAAAAAAATCATATTTTTCTACTTAAGGATAGATGATGTCTGACCTAGGGCTTGATATTACACAGGCCCAGTTTCTAGAGAATCCTTTGCTGTGACATTGAGGGCTGTGTATACTCTAAACATCTATTATAAAATTATGCATTGTTTATTCTTTCTTAAAAGGGGTGCAAGCTTTGTCAGTGGTTCTGGGCTGAAAAGTAATTCGAATAAGCCCTTTGGTTTATGTTGCACACAAGAAGGTTTTACAGGACCTAATCTTTGCTAAACCTGTTATGTCCTTTGGTTCAGCAGAGCTTCCTAATTGTAGCTATTAGTTCCCCCGTTTTGTGGTCTGTTCTGTCAATGGACTATTGAGTGTTCAGTAAATTAAGCCCAACCAGCAGCCAACACATCAAGACAGACGTTAAATCATAGCTTGGCTGCCCTTATTCATTATTAGGATCAGTGAAATAGCTTTTAAGCACAAGGGCAGGATTTAACATGATGCACATTTGTGTCACTCTCAGATTTCCATACTGTACAATCAGGTATGTGAGGTTTTTTTTTTTTTCTTTTTTTTTTCTCTAGGCAACAGGTGTGTTCTTGGAACAAAGTTCAACCCCCCCACTTGTGGCTTATGTGAAAGGCAGCAGCTGCAAGCTTACTGTCAATGACACATGGTTCTATAAAAGAGAGAAAAAATAAGTTTCTTGTTCAATGTATTAAAGTAATGGGCAGATGGATGATAGCTGCCTGTACTTTTCTTTGTCTTGTAGAATCAGAGTCCAAACTTTCAGTTAACAAGTATTTTTCTCTTTTTCTTTCCTCCCTCCCTCCTCTATCTTCCACTCTTCCTTCTTTCCTTTTTAAAAAGCATTATGAATTAATTATTGAGAATATTTATTCATTTGAATCATACTGTTTTCAGAGTAATAAGTGGAAAGAAGAAAAAAGTTTATATAATAAATCAAGCTATGCTTTATTTATAAGTCAACTTTGTTCTAAAAAGATTTTAAAGGAACTGTTTACTATGCAATTTGAAGAGACTTAGTATTCAAATGCTACATTTAAAAAATAAAAAAATTAGCTTGGCCAGTATAGCTCAGTGGTTGAACATCAACCTATGAACAGGAGATTACGGTTTGATTCCCAGTCAGGGCACATGCCCAGATTATGGGCTTGAACCCAATGTGGGGCATGTAGGAGACAACTAATCAATCATCATTAATGTTTCTATCTTTTCTCCCTTTCACTTCTTCTCTGAAATAAATAAAAAATATATTAAAAATAAATAAATAAATAAATAAATGTACTTTTTTATAGGCTTCATTATTATCTAGTAAAAAGCATCTAAGACATGTAATACTTTAAATAATAAAAAATAAAATAAAAGCTTTGTACAAAATTTTGTGAAATATTACCAATAAGAGCCATAATATACTATATACCTCAAAAACACAATGTCAGCATTAATTCATAGTAACAATGAAACAATAATTATTATGATTGTGTTCAAGCAAGTAAATGTTTGTCAATGACTCAATAATCATTTTTAGTATATTGGGGTAATAGTCCATTTTATATGTTAACTTTCAGGTACCATCACATCTTAGAATATAAGAAGCTCAGCCACTCTCTTACTGTATATGAGCTTGAGAACAGACCAGAGTAATTATATAGCTCTGTAATATATTTGAAGCAAACATATTTCACTACATTTTCTAGAAATCATGTATGTTAGAACTTCCCCTCTTTAGCCAGTGGGTATTTCAACAGGAATATTTAATAAAAATAAATGTCATGAGAAGAATCTTCATTTTTATCAGATGTGTTGAACAAATTTGTTGCAAATGTGATAAGCTAAGTATCTATTCAATTACAGTCCTGGAACCTCTGGTAGAGCCTGGGTCACCTGATCCCCTGGGAGATGGTGTTGCACAGATTGTCTAATTGGGGAAGGAGCAAAACGAGAATCCCTTCTTATGTGTGATTTTTAACCCCAAACCACAACTTTAAGCAATAATCAGATTTTACGTGAGTCTAATCTGAGAATGGTTTTGCCAGGACTGTCTCATTGCTGGGAAAGCTATAAGCAGATGGAGTTGGAATTCAATCCTCTGAGACAAACATAAGCAAATGAAAAAGAAGAACCTGGTGATAAACTTGTAGGTTTTTAATTGGTTTGGCTATTGCATTAGATGTTCACCAAATGCATGCAAATACTGACTAGCCTTAGAGAGGATGCTAAACATTTAAATATGTATAAAAAGTGTCTAAAACTGGAAAGTGATCCTGGGATACCATTAAAGGGCTCTACTAACCCAGAGATCATCAAATTCTATGACTTTGCTTTCCTCAAGATATACATATTTATATTTGTAATTGTAGTAAAATACACACAGCACAAAATTTACCATCTTAACCATTCTAAGTGTACATTTTAGTAGTGTTAAGTATTTTCACACTATTGTGCAACAGATTTCCATGATGTTTTCTGAAGTTAGTTTGCATCACAAAACTAAAACTCTATACCCATTTAAAGAGTTCCAATTTCTCCCCATCCACACCCCTGGCAGCCACCTTTCTATCCTCTGTCTCCATGAGTCTGACTACACTGGATACGTTAAAATAGAATCGCACAGCATTTGTCTTCTGTGACTGGTTAATTCCACCTAGCATAACATCCTCACGGTTTATCTTTATTGTAGCATGTGCCAGAATTCCCTTCCTTTTAGTGGCTGAATAATATTCCCTGTATACCACATTTTGCTTATCCATTCATGGTCCACAGACACTTGGGTTGCCTAGTCTTTTGGCTGTTGGGAATAATGCTGCTGTTAGCATAGGTGTGCAAATATCTCTGTGAGATCTTGCTTTTAATTCTTTGAGGAATATATTCAGAGGGGGAATTGCTGGATTGTACGATAATTCTACCTTTAGTTATTTTTGAGGAACCGCTATACTCTGTTCCATACCGGCCACACATTTGACACTTCCACCAGCAGTGTACCAATGTCCCACCGTCTCCTTTCCTTGCTGACCTTGTTATCTTGCCATGCAGGACAGGAGAGGAAAGTACTCACATGAGTCTCCACGTCACCAGCAAGGATCCTGCTCTTCTTTAAAAACTCGGCCACCGTGCTGTTCATCAGCTTATCAAAGGCTTCCACCGAGGGGGCCACACCTTTGGAGGAAGAACACGTAGTGATTCCCTGGTAGTTTAATGGACAGCAGGTACTGCTTTGCCATGGGGAAGATGGAAGTTTAATATCACTCATGCCATTTTCATTCTCTTCATTAAGCCATTCGTTCTTTCAGTCAATATTTATTAAACACTTCTCAAGAGCTCAAGAAAATAATACTTTCCCATTTTTCATCCTCCTCAGTGAGCACTATCACCTACAAAATTTCACTTAACTCTTTCCCAAACTCATGAGGTAAGTAGCACCACCACAGCTTTCCTGATCAGGAAATGGAAATGCAAACAGAGCATGTGGCTTGACCAAAGTCATATGCCACGTAAGAGGCAGATTCAAAACCAGAACCAAGCCTCATTCATCCACAGCCAGTGCACTTCCTTCTAGACTGACCAGACCAGGTGCTATAACAGCTTTGCCAAGTTGCCAATGTTATCCAGGGCAACTAGAAGCTAATATGGACCGTGGGCATGTGGGAAAAGAAAATTGATGTCACGCGTTCTGTCCCTTCTTCACCTCCAGGGGAGGCGAGGTGGGCAGGAAGGACTGCTGAGCTCCTCAGAGTGTCTGATGTGTTGAATCCCTGTAAAAGCTGTAGTGACAATAGCTCAGCCTGGTGTGCTCTGAACTCTCCCTGCCTCTTAACTCACAGGAAAAACTTTTCTGAGTCCTAGACTTCATATTTCTAATATTGAGAAAGATAATATGGAGAACCTCAGCACTATAGGCTGCTAAAATCCAAAACAAAATCTAGGATTGCCTTTCTCCTATTGGACAGAAATGTCCAAGCTCATAGACCTGTAAAATAAAGTTTTCCTTCCTTTTCCCTTTTTCCCAGTTGCCCATTTCCACAGGCCCAAAGGATGACTGGGACAGCTGTCTTCAGCTTTCTGTACCTAGTTTAACTTCTAACTTCTAGAACATAAAAGCGGTGCAAGCCCAGAGATTCATGGACCCATTTGGAAATAGGCAAACTTGTTTGTTGGGTGTGAGAGAAGCCAAAGAGGTAGGTCTCTGTTGAGTATTTAAAGTAGTAGGAAGTTTTAGAAATGTGATGGAGGAGGTACAATGATAAAAGGGAATATTTTCTGATGGCCTCTCATCACTCAGCTCTGCTCACATCTCCCCAGGCGGCCTCCAACGACCTGTATTCTCCCCAGCCTGCATCCTTTGAGCATCCTGCAATCGAAGCGTTTGTGGCCCCGTATAATAGTGCATTGAGATCAGAGATCCTAGAGGATTAGGACTGTGTACATAATTCATCTTAGATTTTCTTGCCCCTATCACGGTGCTTGCCACTTGGCAGGCATGCAACAATATTTCTTCCACTGCTGAGCCAAACGTACCTGATTGTCAGGGGTAAAAAAATAAACCAAAACCATAGCAAACACATCATCACACCAGTATCATAAGAAGGCAGTTCTTTGGTCTGTGCATAGATGGATTTGTAATGGACCGGATTCCTTCCGAAAGTTTTTTTTAAATAAAAAAATATTTTTTAAGCTTTAGTTATAGCAACATTGTAATGATGATGTTTATATTTAAGGTGAGAGGTTGTCCTAAGGATTTTTTTCAAAATAGAATTTAGATAACCACCAAAGCTTACTAATTAAGAAGAAATGGAAATGATGTTGTATAGGATAAGGAAAATGCCTTAAGTATGGATATCATTCAGATATTTTACTAACTATCCTACTTACTAATGATCACTTCGTTTTAAGTAGGATAATAAATTGCTGACTAAATTGTTTTAAAAGACCTGAATTTAATAACTGAGAAAATATTTGCTTAAATACTTAAGTAATTTAAATTATATACTTTTTAATTTTGCTTAGCCTATTAATTTTCCCAGATATATTTTTATCCTCACCAAAAAATAAGAGATAGATATTGGTTCCCTCCATACATGCTCTGACCATGGACTGAACCCAAAACCTAGGTATGTACCCTGTAATTGAGTCTAGAACCTTTTGGTGAACAGGACTACACTCCAACTAACTGAGCCATCCAGCCAGGCCTCAGAACATTTTTTTTTAAATAAAGAAAATAAAAAGTGCAGTGTAGTAGTTCTTTGAATAAGCGAAGTTCAAATTATGGAGGGTTGCTTTTTTTTTTCTGTTTACTCAACAACACTATTCAATCTCTGGGTAGTTGGATTTCACTTTATTTTATGTATTCACCAGCTTTGTATTTGTGGCTGGCAATTTTAGAGAAATGTCTTTTGTTCACCAGATGCCAAAGTAATAGGGACACTGAAATAAAAATACATTCTTACAAATAAGGTTAACTGAATCTCACAGAGCAACTGGTTAGTCAACAAGAAGAGGCTTAAAATGAAATCGTAGATGTGACTCTGTTGATGCAGAAATGACTTACAGGCCCCTGGCAGCCTTCCTTTAAATAGCACCCCTTCCGGTGCACTCAGAGCATTTTAATTTTCATTATGCTCACCGGGAAGAACCAGCCTGCGCATTTGTGCTCACACAGTAATTTTTGTCCTAGGGCATGTAATACAAGGCACAGCTCCAAATACGCCTGAAATTCTAGAAGCACCACTGTGGATCTTGCCTGGTAAAAGCCTTGTTTTAATGCCCCCTTCCACAGGTCTTTTCTCAGCCTAACAGGACTCAAAATGGGGCAGATCAAGAGGAACCTTATATGAGACAAGGATAGAGTTGCTAGGTTAAACACACTTAGCCCAGTTAAATTTGAATTTCAGATAAACAATGAATAAATTTTTAGCCTAAGTGTGTACCATGCAGTATCTGGAACACACAACTCCTCGACCCAAAAAAAGTCAGCTACCTAAAACTCAAATTTAACGAGGTGTCCTGTATTTTTATTTGCTAAATCTGTAAGCTTAGGCAAGAAGAAATTGGAAAAATTACTGTAGATAACGTAGAGAGTTTACCATACCTGGTATCATGTTAAAGAAATAGTTAATTTTTTTTATGTTTGCTCACATAGTTTTTAAGATCTATTTTTTTTTTAAGTGTGGCATTAGCATGTAATTAAAAAAATACTTTTATTGATTTCAGAGAGGAAGGGAGAGGGGGAGAGAAAGCAAGAGAAGCATCAATGATGAGAGAGAATCATTGATTGGCTGCCTCCTGCACACTCCACACTGGGGATTGAGCCTGCAACCCAGGCATGTGCCCAGACTGGGAATCTTAGTTCATAGGCCAATGCTCAACCACTGAGCCAGGCTGGCCAGGCCTTAGCATATATTTTTCTAAGTGTGTTTGGTCAGTAGCAGGCACAGGTAAAACAATGTGATGGGATCGTGTCACTGGCATTCACATTTGGATTCACATCAGGTTCACTCCTTTAAAACTGCAGTTCTTAAATTTAATGACTTGTTCTATTTAAAATTAAAATCTACAGAATAATCATTTCTTTCAGTTTACATTCCAACTGAGAACATTAGTTTCTTTTTGATAATCACTTAGATAATATATTTAGCCACTGAGCGTGGAAGAGCAGCATAAACACTAAAACAAAAGAATAATGATACTTGGCACATGAATTATGCTCTTAACAGGCGGAGGAATTGGCAGTTTTTGTGGAATGTGCGTTGAAACTTTTTTTCCCTTTCTATTTTCAAGAATCGCTTGCATCTGGTTAATGTCATGGTCACATACAAAGGAAGGAGTAGGGAAGTTGAAGAAAGTAGATAGACATATTTCTTGAGCACTAAGTGATGGGGACAAAATGAAGTGACCCACGTAAAGATGGGTAACGACAAGTTTGTGGTCCTACCTCCACTGACACCGTTAATTTCTCCACAGTCCCCAGGGGGCCGGTGTGACACCGCAGGCAGCAACTCCAGCCGGCCGACTGCCCGTTCCAGTCTCTCCACCAGTCCCTGCATCGCCTCCATTCTAGAAGACGGGAACAAACGGAGGCCATGTGAGCTCAAGCAGGATTAGCAAGCTGACACCATCACATTTAGCAGTGGCAAGAAGGAAAATAAAAATTGCTGGAAAAGGCTTTAATTACCTAGAGAGTATATCAACCCTCTAGGTAATTAAAGGTGTCAGGGAAATATGGGAAAAGCAAAAGAACATACGACTTGGAACAAAAAAAACACCCAAATTTTATTGAGCTTAGTATTCAATTCAGTGACTTTTACAAGCCTCACATGCAAAACACAAATATTCATTTTCTCTCTCTCTCTCTTTTTAAAAAATATAAATTTATTGCTTTTTTTACAGAGAGGAAGGGAGAAGGATAGAGAGTTAGAAACATCAATGAGAGAGAAACATTGATCAGCTGCCTCCTACACACCTTCTACTGGGGATGTACCCGCAACCAAGGTACATGCCCTTGACCAGAATCAAACCTGAGACCTCTCAGTTTGCAGGCCAACGCTCTGTCCACTGAGCCAAATCGGTTAGGGCAAGCAAACATTCACTCTCTTGACAGCATTATCAAGTGTCTCCTTGGGTGATTCTTTGAGCTATGATACAATCTGTGTCTACTAGTTACTAAAAGCCCAGGAACATATATTCACAATTAATATTGTCAACTCTTATTGCTCATGGTGGGAGGATACTTTAACCAGTTCCAATAGTTCTTTCTGTTAAAGTATAATTCTACAGGGGACACCAAACCCTTGTTTACTTAGTTAGCTTAAATCAACAGCACAACCCAGGAGAACTGTGAGTTTGTGAAGCTGTGCATCACTGAAGAGCCAGCAGAGGCCATTGCCTGAAGAGTGAATTGTTTTCTACCTGCTATTAGTGTGTTTCAGGGTTCTGTTGCTACATTACTTTAAATTGAAATTATTTTGAACGATGGATATTTTAATTTAAAATATTCAAGATGGTTATTTTCCTTTGATGTTGGTTGTTTTTAGACAAAACTCAGTTTTAGGTGAGATAGTTTTTGGAGACAGTGATCTTGAGTTACCCAACACTTATGGTTGAAATAAACTTGTTTTGAGGTTGGCTAAGGGCATGGTTGGCAAACTGTAGCTCTCGAACCCCATGCAGCTCTTTGGCCCCTTGAGTGTGGCTCTTTCACAAAATACCACGGCCTGGGTGAGTCTATTTTGAAGAAGTGGCATTAGAAGAAATTTAAGTTTAAAAAATTTGGCTCTCAAAAGAAATTTCAATCATTGTACTGTTGACATTTGGCTCTGCTGACTAATGAGTTTGCTGGCCGCTGGGCTAAAAAATTGGGGGTAAAAATGAGGCAGGGTATCTATCCATCCTTCCTGCTTCCAAACAGATGTTAGATAGACACACTGAGCATACACAAAGTGAGTCTTTAGAATTACTGACCCTAGAATGTAAAGGTATTAAGGTAGCCTCTGAGGAATGATTTATGAGATCTAGCTAATAGGTGCCATAAGTCTGACCATACCAACCTGTGGTCTTGGCAAAATCAGGCTGCTGCCTCAGAGAGAGTAATAAGGCCTCAGCTCAGTGCCTGCACTTCTCCCTGTTAGGAACGTTCCAAGCATCACTCTGAGCCACAGAGGATGATATGCTCCTGCATCTCAGACAACACTGCCCAGAGCGTGGGTAAATTTTATTGCTCTAAGATGTGTAACTATTTTCTCTTTCTGCCCGGAAGGCACTTCTCTTTTGTATTTTGTAGTCTCTTAACGAGACGACATGTAATGACTTAAATGTAATGACTTGCCATTGCCTTATTTTAAAAACCAGGTTATACTTATCAAAGCACATGGATAGCTTGGGATTCTGCATCCAAATGTCAGACTGTCATCAGACACAGTCGGGGAAGGCTCACTGTCTATTTTGGAAAGTCATCTCCTCTGAAATTGCCAGCAGCTACTCTTTCAAAATATGGGGCAGTGTTCTCTGCATGGCCAAAATCAGCATCTAATCCCAAGGGCACTCAAAATTAGAAGTTTCTCATCTATTCTCTTCCTCTTAACGTCAGCTTTTGCTTCCATCGCAAATGAAAAAAAAAAAAAAAAAAAAAAAAAAAAAAAAAAAAAAAAAAAAAAGGAAGAGAAAATTAAATCCATTATGTAAGCTTGTGAGGGAACTGGGTATCCTGTAGGTAGGTGGGTGAGGGCCATTGGAGAAATGATAAAAGCCCCTCCAATCTTTTAATAGTTGCCCATCTGTTCACAGTTATCTATGTTCCCCGTTACTCAACTTGCCAAATGTTACCGCCATAGACCAAGCCCACGCTGAAAAAGAATGTGTTTGCTTTCCTAGTGAGCTCTCTGTCCCCCAACAAAAAGCACCAAGTACCTCCAGTCGCCCCAGACTGTTTGGGGAAAGCCCGTTACATTTCACACGTAGGATTGCTGTCCCTGACTATGGCTTAATCAGCTTCCCAGACAAGACCCAAACCACACGTTATCTCATAGTGCTTCATATGTTGAAAGACAATAGGAGTTAGCCCATAAACTGCTGGGCTGGCAGACTGGTGTGGAATGCAGTCTAAAAGTGAATCAGATGTCACTTCATGTGACATCGCCATGAACTGAAGACTTGCCACAGCCCCTTAAGAGGTCAAAATGCAATGTCATGCAAGGAAGCTAGAAAGATGCCTCTGGGTTTAAAATTTTAGAACAGTTTCTAGGAGAAATGGAAGAACAAATAAAAGAAATATAACTTATTTCTCTTATAAAAACACACATTAGTATTCCCCAAAAATATGACAGGGTCCAAGTTGGCTGTGCGCTCACTCTCTGTCTCTCCCCCCTCTCTCCCCCCCCTCTCTCTCTCTCACACACACACACACACACACACACACACACACACTTCTCTCCACATGTGCCCTCAGCTGCTAGCCTGGCTCTCAAGAATGAAGAAAGAACGGAGCTGTAGATTCTCCAGATTCTTCCCAGGCAATTCCATTCGCCTTGGTTTTCACAATGGGTTTAGCCAAGTATTGATGAGGAGGTGGGAGCCAGGAATTAAGAATTAGACTGAGGAAATGGATAGGGCAGTCAAAGCAAATGCTGACAGCTAGATCAAGCTATGGAATGAGTCAGGGTCGGTGGACAGAGGATGTGGATCAGGAAGCCAGTGAAGAAGGGAAAAGGGCAAGATGGTGGATGTAAGATGTTCTGGGAATTGGATGAGAAACCAAGAGATGCCAGATGCATAGTTGGAGAATCAAGAGATTGGGTTAGATGCTGCTGCTCAAGTACTAGCTAACCTTGAAGTTATAGAGGATGAACACCAATGTTTGACTAGAGTGTGAGGGCGAGAGAAAAGAAAAAGGTGGAGGAACACAGAACTTCACAACTTTCTTTTTTTGTTTTAGGAAATGATACTTGAGGCTAATCTTAATTCTTTGTTTTGCATTATTTTTTGAGTATTCTCTTTTGAGTTTCTCTATAATGAGAAATATAACTTATCCTTGCTTGTCCTTTTTTTCTTACTGAATTTGAGTTTCTCTTTCATGCTTCATTTTTTATAAGTTTAATTTTTATCAAAGCCAAACATGCACAGATGTAGAGTCAATAGTTCTGCAAGGCTTATAACAAAACAGAACAGTCCCCTGACTGCCTCCTTCCATTCTTTGATTTGAGAGTCAATCATTTGTAATTATTTTAGCTGTTTACTTTAGTACTGTAGTTTCCTCTTATCCTATCTAATGAAGAGGGTATATGCAAACTGACCATCACACCGTAACAAGATGGCTACGCCCACAGTGGAGGCAGGGATTCCCGTAACAAGCCTTAATGAGCAATCAGCAGAAATCTGAGGCTAAGGTGGGACTTGACAGGGGACCTCAAGCCATGCCTCCCACCCAGCAGGGGTTGATGGGGAACCTCAGGCCGCACCCACCGCCCCAGTGTTGGGATGGAGGACCTGAGGCTGCACACTCCACCCTGGCATCAGGCCGGGGGACCTGAGGCCATGCCCCCTGCCATGCAGGGCTTGACAGGGGACCTCAGGTGGTGCCCCCCCTCTTGCCCCCGAGGGGCTTGATGGGGGACCTCAAGGTAAGCCCCTGTCCTGGCCTGAGCTGGGGAAACCTCAGGCCATGAGCCCCACCCAGCGGGCCTTGGTGGGGTCCTCAGGCTGTGCCCCCCACCTGGTGGGGCCACGCCTTTCACCCCAGGGTGGGAGACCTGAGGCTGTGCACCCCACCCTGGCGCCTGGCCAGGCAACCTCAGGCCACACCCTCTGCCCCAGCGCCAGGCTGGGGGATCTGAGGGTGCTCCCGAGGACCTGAGTTTGCACCCCTCGCCCAGTGGGGTTTGATGGGGGACCTGAGGCTGCACCCCCCGCCCAGCGCTGGGCCAGAAGACCGAGGTTGTGGGCCCCACCCCTCGGCAGGGCTTGATGTGGGTGGGCCCTGCTGGGTCTGGATCTAGCCCAATGTGGGTGGGGCTGGTTGGGTCTGGGTCTTGTGATTTTGAGGTGTGGGCTGGTGGGTGGGGACTTGACTCTGGATCCCTGTGGCACATCCCAGACGCTGATAGGAGAAAGATTTTCATATACATTTTACTAATTTTCTTTCATCTCTGACACTTCTATTATAGAGAAAGGGCAAATAGCAATATTAAAATATTTCCTCTAATTAATTCCTTTTTATTGTGCACGAATTTCATGCACTGGGTCACTAGTTTCTAAATAATATACTTATAGTTCTATGTCTTGTTTGCTTTCTTCACTTTCAGACATCATTCACTGAGTTCCCACCAAAAACAAAAGGGAGTACTGTTCTCTTGCCCCATACCCACAAGCACATACATGCATATTTCCTTTTATCCCTTTCTCCCAATACAGTTATATCTCAATTTTTGTGTGACAAATAATCAGTGTTAATACAGTTAGGACTATTTACAACTAAGTCATGATTTTCACTTTTTGCATAGTTTGTTTTATTAAAGCAATGCTTTTCAGCTTCTCAGTTGTCTACACACTTAAAAAATTAATC